TTCATGCTTTTTAGGCCTGTAATAGAAAACTTATTCTGACTTATATCATAATGTGTTATTCGTAAACTGGTATTTAACAAAGAAATATAATAAGTATATGTACGAGAATTAAATTTGCATGAGAGCATGTACCTAAAATATTGGCGACAGTTTCTACCAGATTTCCAAGCCCGAGAGATAACGATTTCTTTTCAGCTACGACTATGCTACTCACAACTGGTCGGCTTTGAATTAAAAACTTATCAAGCTCGTCGAGACAGATAGATATGTTTTGCTGCAAAGTGCCGCCGATAATCAGTTCCTTATCATCTTCCTGCATGTCAGCGACCAGACCCACGTCACCTACGGCTCCCCACTGAATTGCCAGTCCGGGTAATCCTTCCTCTACCCTTTTCTCGCACACTCTCTCCATGATGGAGTTGGCCATGCCATAATTAGTCTGTCCAGCGTTTCCTCTGCCGCAAGAAACGGAAGAGAACACTACAAAGTGCCGCAGTGTCGGGCAGATCTTTCTGGAAAGTTTGTCCAATGCCTGTGTTGCACGAGCCTTCGATTGGAAGGATTCCGTGAAAGTCTTCGCGGTTTGATTCATCAAGATGCCGTCCTTCAGCACCACTCCGAGATTGAATATCGCGTCCACCGGTGCATCCCTTTCGACAGTTTGCAAGAGGTATTCGCAATCCTTGGGGTCAGCGACATTGATGTCCTTCACGATCAGCACATTTACACCGTACGACTTCCAAAGGCGAACTTTCATGCGTTGATACCCGTTTTTTATTCCAGTTCGCGATATCAACACAACATTTCTGGCGCCTCGAAGTATCAGCCAGTTGGTTAACTCTAAACCAAATCCACCTAAACCTCCTAGTATAATGTAATTTTTATTTCTGAGACAGTAATAGCGACGATATGCAAAAATGGGCTTGTCTGAAGGTTTATCCGGTTCCTGTATATTTATAATTATCTAAAAAATATTTATATGTTTAAAATTCATGTTATATGTGTAAAACGGGTTTCCGTTATAGGCTTCTGTGAATAATTCTCTGTGAGCTACTATTAATCAATACTAGCATACCTTTCCCATATGTTTTCCACTTGCCATGTACCTAAAGGCTTCTTCGACTTCTGTTTTCTGAAAAATTTTTGCTTGAATTGGTTGGATGGTTCCATCTCTAAGACCATCGGCTACCATTTTGTACACTAGTGATTTATACTTGTGATTGGTACCATACAGTTGGTCGTATAAAACGCTATGGAATGCAATACCTTTATGAAACAGAGAAATATCTAGAGGATTGTTAGAAATAAGGTCAAATTTGCCAATCTCCAGAAATTGACCATTTCGTGCTAAACAACGAACAGATGCGATTAACTTTTCATCCGACAATGAATTTAACACGATATCAACGCCGCGACCATTCGTTTCTCGCATTATCATTTGTTCAAAGCTGGTGTCCCTTGAATTTCCAATATGATTCTCCAGAATGGTCGGAAATATCTTCTTAATAAAGTTCCGTTTGTCGTTTGTACCCACGGTGGTAAACACTTCACATCCTTCTTTGAGAGCGAGGTGAATGGCTGCTTGTCCAACGCCGCCAGTACCAGAGTGTATTAGTATCTTTTTGCCTTTTCTTATTTTTCCAAGAATGTACAAGGCTAAGTAAACTGTACTGTATACGCATGGAACTGTCGCCGCTGCTTCAAATGTCCATGCATCAGGTATCTTCCAGTAAAACTCTTTTCTTTTTGGAACAACGTTTGCTATACAGCTAGAAAGAATAATCTTAGTTTTGTTTCAATTCTATCGTATTACGCAATATGGTTATCTTTTGAAGCATTATTTACTCTATATCACAGATTCCCATTACACGTTGCCCATCAATATCGAATCCGACATATTCCAGTCCAAGGGGTATATTTT